AGGTGGGGTGGGGTGGTGGTCGGTGGCTGGGTGGGTGGGTGGTGGTGGTGGTGGTGGTAGTGGCGTGGTGGTAGTGCGGGTGGTGGGTGGTGATGGCGGGTGGGTGGAAAGTGGCTGGTAGGTGCTGCCACCACTACCCACCACCCACCCACCCGCCACTTGCCATCACTTTCCACCACCGTCTTCTACCACCATCACCCACCACTTGTCACCATTTTCCACCACCGTCTTCCACCACCACCACCCGCCATCATTTTCCACCACCGTCTTCCGCCGCCACCACTCGTCACCACCCACCACCACTTGTCATTTCTTACTCTTTTTTATATTTTTAAATTTTTTTAAACATTTTGTCTAAACCAAACTCGTTTGTAGTTTATGTTTTTCTAAAAAAAAACAAAAATCAGTTTATAAAATTTTTGTAAATATAAACTAAAAACGTAAACATTACCAAACAGGCCCTAATAAATTATATATTCATGACTTCTATAGTATTTAGTTGCATAAATATTTTTATGAATTCATAAATTTTATTTCACATTAAAATCTCTCAAATGGAACATACTAACAGATAATAGTGCACTATTAAAATGATATTATATTTTAAGAATGACACATTTCGAAAGTGTTTAATAAGATAATAATACACATATGAAATATACTTACATTTAGAATCTCCAATAAATATAGTAAGAGGATCTTGCGGTAGGACTTAATAGTGTATAAAAATTTTATGTGACTTTTCGATACTTACTTTTTTTGATTTATGACTTTTGTTTTTATAAAATCTAGTAAAAAGTATAAAATGTTATTATTTTAATCAATAGATATTAAATTATTTTTCAAAAAATTAGTAAAAAGTATAAGAATTTTATTATTTTAATCAATAAATCTTACATAAATTTATCCCACAACCATCCATAATATGGTCGCCCATTTATGGCAAACTATAATCAAAAGCCTAATCATGGCAAACTATCACCAATAATTTTCAGGCATAATAGTTGCCATAAATAATGTACGGTTGAAACTTAAGG